TTTTTTTTTTTTTCATTTATTTATTATTTATAAAACGATGCACCTACAATATGGCCGGTGAAAAAAAAAAATAAACATCGCACTCTAGTTATAAAAACTAACTTATATGTACGAAAAAAAAAAAAAACCCCAGCTTGACCAACTGTTCTGAACCCCTAACTAAGAATCTCACGTGCATATGTGTATGTGTGTATACACACGAGGAGTCAACGTTACATTGGTGAGGGAGGGCGCTGTAAATGTTTTCCCTCTTCGTAAATTGCAAAACGATCCGCAGGTACTTGTACGTATATGTATACACGACCCCCACGTAAGTACAGGACTAATGTGGTGTATAAAGGGACCGTTGGAGGCAAGTACAAAGTACACACGTATCCTACCAAGCAACCATTACAACATACCCTGTAAGTGCAGGTACCGTAAATAACGTAGGCAAGGTATTTATACGTTTGATTCACTCCTAGAGGGGTAGAGTAGCCTTTTATTTTGAAAATCGCGTGCGCAACGAGAGAGTTGGCCGTTATTGTTGTAAAAACGGTACCCTGCACACCCAATTTATACCTATACGTGTACACACCACTTGGCTTACGGTATTATCTACATTTTTCCACGGAAAGATCAAACAAGGGGTAGAGATAGAGAGAGTGGGAGTGGGGGGGGGAGTTAAACAAAAGTACGTATATAGGTGTTATATATAGACACATGCACTCACCAGTTCGGAGGGCATGGTGTTGCAGGACCTTAAGGGTAGGGTGTAGGTAATGGGAGCCGGTTGGCTCCTGTACTCGTGCAGGCACGAGCTGTTCTTCGATAAACCCCGGGGATAGACGAACCCGTGGAAGTTGGCGTTGCCCTCCGTCGAGATCTGCACGATTATCGATTCCCGGGCGCACTCTATCTGCACCGTGTCCGCTATCGACACCATTCCTCCAGTGGCTACCGCTACTGCAACAAGAGAACAAAAAATATATATGACCTATGTATATTATACATGCATAGGTCCATAAATGTTTTTTTTTTTTTTTCCCAGATCTCTTTTTAAATTTAATTTCAATGAAAAATGAGACAAGCTTGTACGAATAAGGGATAGCATAGAGAAAAAAATGTTTTTTTTTTTTTTTCCCCACCTATTTATACTCATTATTGTTTATAGTTTAAAAAAAATAACATTAATACATCAATACTGTATAACTACATGTAAAGGTACCAGCGGAAGAGATGGGGAAGAGTGCTCGAACAAATACATCCATTCATCCTCTTCCCTTGTATACCTATACATATATTATATACTCATACACCATGCATCATATCTATTACGACCGATCGAGCGTCCAATACAGTTACCACCATTCAGTATGTTGTACTGGCTCGCAGCTATACGATGGGCCTCGAATCAGCGTGCGAATGCAGAAGCGTCCCGTTGTGTTGCGGGAAGTGTGCGATAGGCACTGCCAAGAGGCCATTAATTAAATCGTCCGTCCGAGAAAAATATGGCACTGGGACCCATCAACTATACTCCTTTGTATCCCTTTTGTTAACAGTGTGATAAACGAACGGTGTATGACGATGATCATGTGATCTATATATATCATAGTAACTGTTACACACGCGAGGTAGTGCCGTTTCGTTGTTCTTTTCATTTGCCGTCGCCGCAGTCGTAATACATATATACGTATAAATGCTCTCTCTTTCTCTAATAATGATACCTCTGTTGTGCGACTTAACGGTTCGGCTTTTTAATCGGTGCTCTTTCTCGCGTCTACACATGTCTATGGTACGACGCCGATGCGACACGTGAAACACCTTAGGGCGAATATTAGAGATTTACGGTACCATAAATTTGTATTGGATGTACCTATAGCGAAATATTGATACGTCTGGTTGGATTATATATGTATATATTATACGAGTAGTTACGATGTAGAGCAAAAATCAAGAGAAGGACGCGGACCCCGAGCCAAATATCATTGAATGCCACGTTAGTGAGTTATATAACTCTTACGCGGTATACCTATATACGGCCAGTGCCGATGGCGTATATATACGTATACCCATTGTAGGTAGATGTATATACCTACCAGTACAACGGTTGTTTTCGGCATTAATTCATCCCCGAGAGTTTAATAACCCCCCTGAGACGCTACTGGCCATTCTTGCCTTTTTTTTTCCCTTGTATTCGCGGAACGATGATGATCACTTGATAACTACTTTATTTCAGCGCGATCATTGGAATTAATTAAACTTATACACCGTTGCTGCGTTTCGATTCCCGAAATGATAAAATATGTAATTATAATAAGAAAAAAAAAAAAAAAAAAAATTCCTACGCTATTGAATTGCGTCATGAACTTTTAACCGAGCGAGTAATGGCACCTTGTTACACGTAAAAAGTCACTCTTATCCACGTGACGTAACAATTAGTACAACTAAAAGTTATTCGCGAGACTACACCGCTTCTTCCATTACATACCGTAGAATAAGAGTGTGAAAATCCTGCACTTGTATGTACGGCAACTTTCCTTCCAACGCAACAATAAATATGCACATAAGTTGATCAATTACAGCACAATCGGGAGGGTAAAACCGATTGGCTTTTTGGTGTCAAAATGTTTCAGCCCATCACCACGCGAGCGGAGAAAGAGTGAGCGATTCGCGCATGGTATAAGCTTTTGTTAGTTGGCGGGGAGTGAGTGCGCGCGATTTATAAGCACGCGACGAACGAGGAAGAAGAGGATCCGGCGGAAACGGGCTGTAGGTATATATATAACCATCAGCTCCGGAGACGCTGCCAAGGACTCTCTATACTATATATATGTACATATATCCTTTGTTCGAGTGAGTCACGCAGCTCTCAAAGCTCAACGACTGTTGGACAAAAAAATGAAGAAGGAAAAAAAATCTTCCTCCCTCCCCCAGCGCACGAAAAAAAAAAAAAAAACCAACGCCCATCACGTACACAATTATCACGTCCACGAATAAAAATCCTATAATGCTCAAGCCAATCCCCGATCAATCTGATCTGTTATCTTACATCTCGTCCTCCCTTGCACACCCATTTTTTTTTTTTTTTTTCCACCTGTTCCTTCTTTCTTGCGCATTCCAACGTGTGGCTTTTTTTTTTTTTCATTCGCCTGCGTTTCGCTCTCTCCTTTTCTGTATACATATCCAAGAGCTACCGAGGAATACAAGATATATACACGGAGAAAGAGAGAGTGCGACTCTACGTCATATTTATTCCTTTGACGCGCAACGTGATTCATCGGAATGAAACATGATGGCACGGCTGGCTTGGACCGTATATACCTGTACAAACTTATACCTAAATAATACCTATGTATTGAAGGGCGCGGAGGTAACAAAGGCGTGGTGCCATTCGTCGTACCCCTCCTATACGTGCATAAGTATTATCATACACTTAAAAGTACCTATAGGTGTTATTTTGCGGGCTACTGCCGACTTCCGCTTCTTAACTCCCTGTCTCAGTAGTCGTGGCTTTTTCACCCGTGTGCACGACGATGCGCGTGTACATTCCAACGATACAATCCGATGTACTTTCAGGAACAAAGCAATCCACCATTGAACGGATGGCAAGAGATGGAATGAAAATGAATAATTTTCGCAGAGAGAAAGCAAAGAAAAGAAAAATAAAGGAGAAAAAAGGTGGAAGGATGATGCAGGTAAAACCCGAAAATTCACGAGTGCGGCCGTATTTAAACAGTTGGCGTTTGCATCAGGGATTGTATAGTATATACTTATGGCCGGCCACGCTGGAAGTAAGAGCAGTTATGCAAGCGCATGCTCGCGGTGACTCGTGCCCTGACAGTTAAATACTCACGTCTCCCATCGTGCATAAAGTCAAGGAGGAAAGGAAAAAAAAAAAAAAGAAAAGAGGATTAGCCCGCGGTGCAGGATGGGAGGGCTGCTTACGCAGTCGGAATAATTATCGCACGTGTACACATGGATACGAAGAAAAGGACTGACGTACCTATACGTTGTACTTACATACATGGAGATGCCGGTATCCTTTTTTGGCTGGTACCTTTTCGTATTTTATTTCTCTTCCCTTTTTTTTATTTTATGTTTGACCCGTATGCGCTGCGAACAATTGTTTCGATTTCCACGAACGAGAGAACCACAATCTGTCGACGATACTCTTTTTTTTTATTTTGCTATTTCGTGGGCCTTGGCCTCGAAATTTTACGAGCCCAAGAACACGCGATTTATCCCAAAGTGATTGGAAAAACAAAAACCGGATTTTTTAATTCCCAATGATGACGATTATATTTCAGCGAGGGTGTATGTGCACGGCCTTCGGAGCATCTCGTTTTGACATATTTTCTCGAGTATACGAACAACAATAATAATATAATGGCAACGTTTAAATGAGTTTCGTTTTCTTATGTAGGAGGTACGCGCAGGAGAGTTTTGTTTCAGCATAAAACTTTGTTTTTGCCATGCCCCTGTCGGCGCTTGATGTCGGACTGGTTTTTCCTCTTAATATACACGTGGATATATATGTGTGCGCGAGCGTATGGCTGTCTATACAGGTACATATATGTACAGGATGCGTGAAACAGCGAAATCGTTATTTTTAGATTCCGACGAGGTGAGCGTCTTGGCTCGGTGTGGTTCGCGCATCCATGTAAAGTTGGCATTTTTTTTCACGACAAAGTGCAAAAAAGAGATGAAAAAAAAAAAAAAAAAAAAAAAAAAAACGCATAAAAGACAACGCGTCGCTGTAGATGCTGATGGCGAATGGGCGAGCTGTTGGTACGCCAATATCTCGGCACCAGAAACTTGCAAATCGCCGAGAGCTGTTTCAACTGTACGGTCATCGGGGACACTGATTGCGCGCAGTTTTGCCGATGTTCATTGCAGCCACGTATAATCACCAACGTGAGTAAAAAAGCCGGAGGTAAATTTCAAATTTTTCATCCGTTTTTCAAAATGTCCTGGTTTGCGACAAGTTCAAAGAGCGATCTTCCAATCATTTGTCCGTATAATCTTTCTTTGGCACTATTATAATGAATTTCTCGTTGTTGCACACCATTCACCCTTCACCTCAATTTTTTTTCCCTCCTCCGATGTTACGATTGAACGTCATAATTACCACGTTGAAAATAAGTTATCCATGGCGATTTGCTCGCATATGAATAAAACAGCTTGGCGCACATCACCTCTACACACCCGTGTGTATTATATGTCTTGCACAAGGTGTGCGAGTTTTATAATATAAGTACATCGAAAGAAGAAGAAAAAAAAAAAAAATTGTGTCCATCAGCCGTACGTACGTAAACACACACCCACAGCTATACAATAGCCACGCGCTACCGGTCACGGTGCGTTGCGCCTCAAAGTAGCTTCATCCGCGCGCATCAGCGCACTTGCAAGACCAGCACCCACACACACGTGGCGAACAAAAACAATATTACCATCACTTACGTGTTACATTGGTATACATAAGTTACTCACTCCCGCTATTATCCGAGGGAGGGGGGCACGATGAACCAAGTGTTCCTATATATATGCACGCGAATGGCCCCAGGATAAGAGCGTATCCAAAAAGGCGCGCTTCGTCCATTATAACGTACGCATCGCTCTTGGCGTGTGCGCGAGTCGTTTGAAAAAAAGTTGGAAGGCCATGCACGCACAGGCGCTACTTTGCATGGACTATAATTGGGAAACAAAAGTGGGTAGGTGGATGCGCAGGCCCCCATTTTGCCATTGTTACGAATCCTGCGGCAGAACAGCTACAACTAAACGCGTAAGTATATACAAAGTAGGTATGTATACATACATACACATGTACAGAGGTGAGTTGTTGCAAAAGTTTTGTTCGGCCACCAAATAACGAAACAAATACGGTGTGGGCGTGTGCTCGCGCATATATTATAGGCACGCGAGTAATGAGCGACCCTGCAGTTTCGTTGGTTGCATCACGCGAC